GCCTCACAGCAGTGTAACTCGGCCTCAATCCAGCTTTACAACATTGTAACTCCGCCTCCCCAGCCTCTGCTCTCTGCCTCCATGGAGGTGGATGTTACGGAAAGGGGCGGAGTTACAATGATTGACTAACCAATCACATGACATTCAGTTAGATGTGGAATCTGTCCGAAGGAGCAGCAAGATGGCAGCTAATTATGGGTGTAATAGGTTTGGGTTTTTTTAGCAGTTTTTCACATTTTCAATACAATTTTAAAAGTTTCCATAGTATATTTCAAAATTCAGGACAAGGATTCATTTTCTGTGAAGCTATTTTTTTGGGTGACAGTTGTCCTTTAAGGCCAGAGCAGCCGAACGGAAAGCATGGCTGAGTTAGAGAACTCTTCCAGTTTGGCTATTTTGGCCTTAAATTTGAAAGCCACTTTGAATTCTTGTTTTAGGGACAAACCCTGTTAAGATTTATTCACTAACCTGATATAAAACCCAGTTGCTAACATGAGCGCTAGACAAAATACCCATATAGCTTCCAACACTGCGAGCTATGAAATCGGGATGGAGTCTGCAAGCTTATAGGCAGGTCCGGTGCAAAGATTTCTGCCGCCATAGGCAAAGATCCATTTTGCCGCCCCATCATGACACACTCACTGACAGACACCCACTGACAGACACACACACACACACACTCTCTCACTGTCAGACACATACTCAGTTACTGACAAACACTCACAGACACACACTCACGCACAGACATACTCTCACTCACTGACGCACACACACACACACACACACACACAGACATACACTCACTGACACACATACTCACTGACAGACACACACACACAGACACTCACTGACAGTCAAACACTCACACAATTCTATTTTTTGAGGCCTCCCTACCTCCCTGGGGTGCAGTGTGGGGCAGCTCCTCACTCCTCCTACCAGAGGGCGTGCAAGGGAGGAGTGAGAAGCTGCAAGAACAGCCTCCCTCGCCGCCTACTCTTGCCTGCCTTCCCCTGCTCTGCCATACCGAAGAAGCACAGCTTCTCAGCGCCATAAGGTGGCCAGATAGCCACCTCCTGGGCCCCCTGTGACAGGGCTCCTCTCAGTGCCCACCAGAAAACATCCCGGTGGGCACCCCCAGAAGGTTGCACCGGCTCTGCTTCTAGGGGATATCAGTACAGGGTCGGTGCAACCATAAGGCAACACAGGCGGCTGCCATAGGGTGTATTGTACCAGGGGAGCAGAGTCCAGGTAAACAGCAGGAGGGGATACCTCAGTGCTCTCCCTCCTGTCAATCACTTAATTTCCCCTACCCCAGGGGTGCCAAAAAGGTAGATCCCCAGATTTTTTTTAAACTTCAGCTTCCATGATGCTTCGCTTGCGTTTAGAATTCCTTTAGAAGGACAAAGCATCATGGAAGCTGTAGTTTTAAAACATCTGGGGATCAACCTTTTGGGCACTCTGCTTTATCCGGTCTGACAGGAATCTGCACCCTGAGTGCACCTAGTAGATTCCCGTTGGACCATGTAGAGGATACAGAATATCCTCTATCAAGGCCCACGCAGCCACGCTACATGGAGACAAGCAGACAAGGAGGGCAGAGAGGGGAAGAGACCACAAAGGGAATGGGGGCGCGGGGAGAGAAAGAGTTACAAAGAGGGTCTGGGGAAAGGGGAAAAAAAGACACGTAGAGAGGTGGGGGGCAGGCCCGGACTGGCCATCGGGCACACCGGGCAAATGCCCGGTGGGCCGCGATGGCCGTGGGGCCGAGGCCGGCAGGGAGATCACAGAATCTCCCCTGCCAGCCCGTGCAGGGCCAGCGCTACCCGAGCGCCGGCCCTGCTGTGTGCCTCCATGGGCCGGTAGGGAGATCAAAGATCTCCCTCACCGGCCCAGAGGCATGGAGGGAGGAGAGAGGACCCGGCGGAGCTCTAACAAGCAGCTCCGCCGGGTCCTCTCGCGGGATTATGAGCGTTGCCGCGGTTACCGTTGCCGCGGCAACGCTCAGATCTCGCGAGAGTGAACTCTAACCCGCAGGTTAGAGTTCACTCTCACCACTGGGCCACCAGGGATGGATGGCAGAACGGATCTCCTCCCCCCTCCCAGGATAAAGGTAGAGAAGAAGGGAGGGGGGGAAATATTATTATTATTATTTTTTTTTATTAGTAAAAAAAAAATATTTAAATTTAAATAAAAAAATACATTCACTCACAAACACACAGCCCCCAGACACAGCACCCCCCCCCCAGACACACAGAGCACCCCCCGACACAGCCCCCAGACACACACAGCACCCCCAGACACACACAGCACCCCCAGACACACACAGCGCACCCAGACACACACAGCGCACCCAGACACACACTGCACCCACAGACACACACAGCACCCACAGACACACACAGCGCACCCAGACACACACAGCGCACCCAGACACACACAGCGCACCCAGACACACAGCACCCCAGACACACACAGCACCCAGACACACACAGCGCCCAGACACACACAGCACACAGACACACACAGTCCAGACATACACATACATACACACACACTACAGCACCCCTCACACTGCACCACTACACACATTACGCTCCAGATACACACTAGATCCCTTACTCTATATGCACTCTTTATCCTCTATACACACACACACACACTGGGTCCTTTACACAGTAGATCTCCTACACACACACACACACTACATTCCTTGTCAGCAAACACATACAACATTCTCTAAACACACCCTCTCTGCAACCCCTACACACACTACGTCACCTATACACACACACTTCAGCCCGTATGCACACACTCGCTGCATCCCCTATAAAACTATGCCCCCTATACACACACTCTCTACAGCCCCTAGCCACACATATTACACCACAAACACAAATTAAATTGACCTATTTATACAATACCACACCACACTCTACACACACGCAATCCCACAAGCAGGCTCCAAACACATGCACCATGCACTTTCCATTTGTCCTCTGGTATCCCACTTGTGGAGACACCAGAGACAATTTAAAAGCAAACACAGCACAAGCATGTTATTTCATTTGCTTGCGCTGCGCAGAACAAATTCAGGGCCTTTTTCTAATGCCAGAGCTCTTCAGCAGGGCTCTGGGCATTGAACCAACATTCTCACTTTGAGAGGGGGCGTGTTGTCATTAGTGATGACAAAACACACACTCTCTGGCCCCGCCCCCTTCTTAGGGGGCCGCTCTGATTGAAAAATGCCCGGGCCTAATTTTTTTCCCAGTCCGGCCCTGTATGTGTGTGTGTCTGTAAGTGTGTGTGTCTGTGAGTGTATGTGTGTGTGAGTGTATGTGTGTGTGTGTGTCTGTGAGTGTGTGTCTGTAAGTGTCTGTGAGTGTATGTGTGTGTGTGTCTGTGAGTGTGTGTGTCTGTAAGTGTGTGTGTGTCTGAGTGTATGTGTGCGTGTCTGTGAGTGTGTCTACAAGTGTATGTGTGTGTCTGAGTGTATGTGTGTCTGTGAATGTGTGTCTGTGAGTGTATGTGTGTGTGTGTCTGTGTTTCAGTGTGTGTGCGCACGCGTATATATATATATAATGAAAAGAAGTAGAACTTGGCACTCACCCTTTACTATGAATATCAAATGAATATTGCCTGGGTGCAAACCTTGGCGTTGTGCATACAAAAAATATGGAAATAAGGTGCACTCACAGGTCTTCAAATGTGCTTCTTTTTATTTTACATGCAA